CCTTTATTCTTCTGCCCTTAGGCTGTCTGTGGTTTTGAAACTGGGCTATGTGGGCAATCTGCACAAAGCAGAGATGGTTTGTGGCATGTGTAGAGCACATAGAATTAGTTTTTCTCACCCTCTCATTCGGACCACATTGTTTCCATCGCTTGCATGCTAGAGCTCTCTCCTAACAGAATTTGGCTGCTTATTTTCCTCCGAATCACACAGACGTAGGCAGCGATGCGTGGGGAAGCTGCTCGCGGATAAGACAGCACTGTAAAGGGAGCGGGGATTTCACAGAGCTCTGCCTGAAGGAAACGTCCCTGCGAGTTACCCGGCACCCTTAGGCTAGAGATCTTGGGCAAAAGTTTCCCTGACCGGTCTGTGATGGTGTCACCCAAACCTCTTCTGGCCACTAACCCGCTGTCCCCGTCCCTGTGCCAACAGGGAACCGGTACCTCCTGGAGTGCAACCCTTTGTGGAGGAGACTACTTCAGCATTACAGACAGCACAACTGCTGCACTGCAGCCCAGGGGATTCTTGTCAGAAAGACTTCAGCCTTCCACCGATGAGGATGGGTTGTACCTCGATGAGCTCGTCCCTCTCTACCTGAACTGCGTTACGTGTGCCTTGGGAAGGACGCAATCTTTTAATTATTTAATGACCCATGGAGCCAGGATCTTCGCCTGCACAGTGACAGCTCAGCTTCAGTGTGTGCTTTGGCATCTTGGGTTTGTTTGTTTTTTTTTTTTTTAATCAGTGCAACCATGGACAGGAACTTTCAGCTCTAGCAAACCAAAAAGCACTGGAAATGGATGGGCGGGTGGGTGACTTTATTGACGATACTATTTTTTTAACTGTAAGATGCTCAGAGGAGCCCCCATCCTATCTGCCAGTGCAGCTGCATTTTGGGGACCAAATACTTAATCCATTCATTGAGGGTGGAATGACTGCATGCGACCGAGCCGTGCAGCAAGCTGCGATTTGCCATAGAGGACCAAAGCTTCTGAGTACTACCACTCATTTGAAAACCCAGGCCAGGGAATTTTAAAGACTTCTTATTTCTTAAAGCAGAAAAACAATTTTTTTGTTGTTTTGTTTTTTTTAAGTGAAGGAAGAAAACAAAGAGAGAACCGTTTATCACTCTTTGTCTAGCCAAAATGCTGTTCCCCGAGAGTGTAAATATCACAGAGCCAAGGCCAAGTTGATTTTGTAAATAGATTTCCTTATTCTTTGTACCAAGGGGGTTGTCCTTACCAGTATAAAGTTAATGAAAAGCGAGGACCCCTCCTACCAGGAAACGTCAGAAATTGTAAGCATATTTTAAACTGTTCTGAGTTTTATTTGAAATCTCCTCCTGCAAGATCCTCCCTTTCCTACTCCGTATTTTTTTAAAGCTGCTTCTAATTTATTAACTTTTAACTGTGAATTTCTTTCACAGTCTTATGGCCTGAGTTTTTAAGAGCGGTGATGGAAATTTGATACGTGTACCACAGCATATATGTGTATAATGTATTTTTTTAATTTTATTTTAAGTAGCCAAACTGCTGTGAACTGGAAGCTGTGATTCACTAGAGAAGGCTGCTTTTGCCCGGTAGCCTATGGCTACAGATGTATAGCGGGGAAGTGGTGAATCACGGAGCTGCTTTTTGAAGCATGGTAGTTTTGCGGGAGGGTGTCTTTTATCTCGTTTCAATTCTGAATGTATGAAGTGCCTGCCTCAGCTCTCCCCAAGACCACGCGCTTGGCTGTCTCTAAATGTTCACGTGGGATGAAGCTAAGATGCCATCACGGTGGCTTTGCAACAAGTATATACTGTGCCGGGGCACAAGTCCTCCGTGGAGCAAGTGAGGGGTCTCCTCATGACTTCCCAGCGCTATGGCAGGGATGACTTCTGTCCTGTGTTTGCCACTGAAAATGCAGCATGGCTCTTTCCAGTGTGGAGGAATGTGCAATAAGAAAGCGTTGTGTCTGGAAAAGTCCTTATTTAACGCTGTGTTTCTTCTCATGACTCTGTGTTAGACTTGACGGGAGAATGGAGAAATTTTGTTGTTCTCTTCCTTATTTTAAAGTATCTTCCTGCACTTCTGCATTTGGTGGATTTGATCTGTACACTAGAGACCACCCAGGCTTGCTCTTGTCTTACTGAAGCGTAATAACGGGCGTATGGCTGGCGATTCCATAAGGGGGGAAAAAAGCCTGTAGGAAATACCTCCTGCTGGTTCTAAGGATGCTTGATAAAAGCTGGTAAGATGTAAAGTTTATTGTTCCTCTTTGAAGTCATCCCGGCTGGGATCTTAAAAAGATTCTGCACCAGCCCGATTTTGCAAATATTATTGCAATTCCAAAATAAGGTTGTATGGGCGTCATTTTGTGGACTACAGAAATGCAATCGTGTATCTCCAAGATGCTGTGGAGAATTGCAAGAGATGCTGGAGTTGTTGGGATAAATACTTTAGCACGGTGCCAGCATCATTCTAACAAAGTCACCTTGGTCCCTTTAGAACCAGTGGGTCTCATTTTCATGATCTAATGGAAGTGAAGAGTCTCTCCCATGGGGTTTTTTTTTTGCTGGTTATTTCATTACACATAACACAAATGAGGAGTCTCACCCCAACTGTAGTGGCTTAGTCCAATACTCTTGTATGGGGTTCGGACATGTCTTTGTTGTATAGACCAAGAAAGACACCTCTCAAAGCATCTCCCTTTGCCCTCAGTGGGGTAAAAAATGTTTACTGCTACTCCTTGGAGAGTAAAGCTTAGGCTGAAATGCTCTGCTTGGTCACCTCTGTGTTGCCAGACAATATACATTTTTTTTTTTTTTTCCTCTGAAGGTGCGTTTTGTAACCGGTGTTTAGAAAAAGCTGCCCCAGAGCAGCCAGCAGCAGTAAGAGCCAGGCTGGACTCTTGGGTGGTGAGCAGGTACCTGTAGAGTTGGTCATGCAGCTGCAATAGTCAGGGATAGCAGAAAGTGCAATTAATCAAACTTTTTATAGACTGTTAGTGCCAGCTGAATATTGCATTCTTGTCCTTGTGCTCATGGATAGAGGGAATCATAGAAGTTAAGAGAGAAAAAGTTCAAGGTAGTCTGGTTTCATTTGCACACAGAGCTTTGAATTTACTTTTGAAAGGATTTTATGTTCAAGCACGTATTCTTAAAGTACTTATAAAAAAACGAAACCACCAAATCTTTGGTAATTCCAGTAGGAAACCAGTGGTAGCATGGTGTTGGTCTCTTCTCCCAAGTGACAGGCGACAGGACAAGAGGAAAAAGCCTCAAGTTGTGCTAAGGGGAGGTTTAGATTGGACATTAGGAAAAAATTCTTCACCGAAAGGGTTGTCAAGCATTGGAACAGGCTGTCCAGGGCAGTGGTGGAGTCACCATCCCTGGAGGTATTTAAAAGATGTGTAGACGTGGTGCTGAGGGACGTGGTTCAGTGGTAACTTGGCAGTGTTGGATTAACGGTTGGACCTGACGGTCTTAAAGGTCTCTTCCAACCAAAACGATTCCATGATTCTGTGGCGCACGGAGTATCTGTCCCGTCACAGGCTCTGTGTTTTCCGCAGCTCATGGACAAAAGAACGTCGTTGTGGGACGCAAATGTCGGTTCATCCAACAGGATAACTTAATGTCCTCAGCACTAGCTCGAGCTGGAGCCCAAGGTGAAGGACGAGAACCTGCGCGGGCTGCAAGCGGCGTGCCAGGCACCAGCCCGTGACGGTCCCTGCGGTTGCAGCCGTCGCCCTGCGTCCTGCCGGGGCTGGCGCTGAAATGACAGATGTCCAGAACTAGGAAACCTCTCCTTGGCTCCAGCTGGCAAAGGAGAAGCCCACCGGACTGTTTTTGAGGATTTGGGCAGATCTGTGTAGGATGATCAGTTTACTGCAATAAATTGTTGTGGGTTTGTTTTGTTTGGGTTTTTTTTTAAATAGAAATGAAATGTTAAGCATCATGAAATGTAAATTAAGGGACTTTAAATGTGGCGGGTTTTTATCTTTTGTATGTCTGTGACTTGCAGCAAACCTCAAATGATGTTTTGGATACAAATATTTCTACCTGCTTCTACCGTTTATAAGAATGAACCTCAACATTCCTTTTTTTGATATTTAAGCCATAATTGTAAAAATTATTTGAATTTATTTAAATAATAAATTTTATTACTAAAAGATCTGTTTATGTGGTGGTTTGAGTAGAGCCTGTGTGGGGACAGCTGTATCTGGACTGAACCAAATGGTTAACAAGAAAATGAGCATTGACTGCAGTACATGGCAGAAAAGACTGTTTTCTACGTATTGATCGTGTGGATGTATTACCCTTACCTGTTTGGTGTGGGGGTTTGGGGGGTCGTTTGGGGTTTTTTGTTGTTGTTTTTGTTGTTTGTTTGTTTTTAATCAGAGTGATCTTTTCATGCGCTGTAGAGGGGCAAGCATGAATCAGGCTTAAGTGTACCTATAAGGCATAGGGTGTAGAGGGTGAGAGGAACCGAAGATGGACATGTTAGGGTGAGTGATTTAAGGAGCTTAGGATTCGGTTCAGGTGTTTTGGAGGAAGGACGTGTGGAAAAAAATAACTTGGGGTAAAAAACCCAAAACAACATCATTGCAAGAAGTCGGCACTGGGCATCTTTTGGTGGATGGAGAGCAGTGGATGATGGAGATGCTTCTATCTCCTGTGCTTTGCATCCAAGGTGTCCCGCAAGACTGTCTGCTTCTAGCTGCTCCCACCTATGAGTTCTGGCAGTGGGAAGTGAGTGTTGAATCTCAAATGCTGCCGAAGGATGTTATTTTGCGTGAGAAGTTTGGAATGGGTTACTGTTAACCTGGAATGGTTTGGGGAAGGTGCGTGTAAAATTGTTGAAAACAGAATGAGTTCAGTTTTACGCAAAATGTTTAAAAACAAGGTTTACCTTTAATTCTCCTCATTCATCTTTTTCAAATGGACAAAATGAGAAAAGTGTTCTTGTGTGCCGCCTCGTCCTGCTGTTGCCTAGGGGCTGCCATCCGCGCCTCCAACAGCGTTATTCTTTTGTCTTCAGTGTAATGCTGTCGTGCCATTTGACAAAGACAAATGTTTGAGTGTGTGGTCTTCCAATTGTGAACTCGTATGATGTGCCAGGCTTCAGGTTCTGCACTACACATGTGTCGGAGTTGACTTGCTGCCTACTGCGTCTCGGTTCTATCTCACTCCCACTTGTCAGTAACTTAATGTGCAGTTCATATTCTTCAAAGTGTGACTCTTGATTTTCGGTAAACCACTTGAGCTTGGCCCAGTCCTTGTGTGCAAATGATTCTTTTCGATCAAAAATCAGTGGTCTCTTTGTAGAGAGAGAAAGCCGAATGTTGGAGAGGCCGGTACCTCTAAGACCTGCATGTGACACCAAACGGTGCTTGACGTAGAGCTTTCCTGGCACTTGCAAGGAAAGGAGGTTTTTCATAGACTTGGAGAGCTTGGACATTCTCTGCGCAATCAGGTCCCAGCTAGAGAGGAAAGTTGTCATATCGCAGGTCTCTACGTAACGGCTCAGCTCCTCCCGGCCTCGTTCCAGCTGTTCTAACAGCTCAGTTAGAAGGAACAGCTGGATTTCAGTCTGGGTTTTTCCCACCTTCTTCATCCTCTCCAATTGGAAGCGGTCTATTAGTTCCAAGGTGTCGGCGGAATGCGTCACGTGGTTCTGGTCTCTCATGCTCACCTGTTTGGGCTCAATCTCCAAGTAAAAGTAACACTTCTTTAGAAGCTCAACTTTGTTCTGGTGGTGCTGGAGGTTGGGGAGGCTCAGGTCGGAGTGCAGGAACTGCAGAACAAGGTTTCTCCTTTCCAAGTACTGCTCTTGGCCGGCGTTGTCGTCTTCTCTGCCGTGCGCAGTACTCTCCGAACTGGTTTCAGATTCATTCAAAGTTGCAGCCATGACTCCAAAGCTCAGTTGCTGCGTAAGAAAGCGGCAGTAACAGCATTAACAACCAAAGGAAAAGCAGCTGTGAGGGAGTATAATCATGGCTGTGACTCGTCTCTTTTAATGATGAAGCTGAGCTTATAAATTTATAGATGGGAAAGAACTGTTAGGTGTAGTTCCAGAGGAATTTTCCTTTCTAGTTGTATGTTTTCTGATGTTTTGTATAGTCTTACATATATTCCAACCAACTGGTCTCCTGCTACTCCCCCTTGAGAGGTTCTACCTCTGCTTAATAGATTCACTGTCAGGAATTATTCTCTGATATCCTCTGCCAAAATGTCTCCCTACCTTATTATCTTCTGTTTCATTCTAATTAGATGCCTTTTGTACTCCTGTAACCAATTTTTTTCCATTCTTCTGCATCTCTGGAGATGCCTATTTTTCTCTCTTTGTAATCTGCCAGGCTGTTGAGGTTTGAGACCCATCTTCTCAGCCAATTCCTACAGCTACATAATCACCTTGGTGATTGGAGTTAACCCTCTGCCCCCCGAGCGAGCTGCGATGCAGCAGCAGAACCACGCGAAGCACTAAGTGCCGCCTCACAACAGCTTTCAAGAGGAACGCCGGCGGTTTTCCTTGCACCTCCACCTTCAACAGCGGACCAGCAGTTGTAACCTGACGGCATTTTCAGCGATGTACAGCTTTCCCTTTCTTTGGTTTTAGTTTACAGCATCACCTCAGCCCGTGATATCCACTCACTTTTTTGTAGAACTCTGTTAATCCATAAACAACGTACAGTGAGAGACTGAAACGCAAGTAAAGCACCTGTGGACAGGTAACGATTTGCTGGCAAGACGGTGTTTAGGTAGTGGTCCTTCGCAACGCCGTATCCGCTCTCTGTCGTAGTCTTAGGTGTTTCATTCACTGACACAGCCCTGCCCTGGTCAGTGGTGGCCGCTCAGCCAAGACGGAAGGCGTTTCTCGGTTGTGCTTTAGCTGAGGTACCTGTGGCTCACACAGCTTCTGCTTCGTAAACAGAAATTAGCTAAATAAATGCCTGTGTCCGTGTTGGCAGCAATACTGTAATGAGAACCCAGCTTGATGTTGCGAACGTGGCTTTCACAAGCTGAACGTCCGCGATTTGAAAAGGAAAGAAATACGGAATCCTGAAAGTAAGATTTTTGTGACCCCAGTCAGACTGCGATGATACAATCTAAAACCAGGTAATTTTCCTCACTCTGTGTAATTTTACAGATAAAATTATTTAAGTTCTTGTAATATCTAACTAGGATACTCGCGTGTCTTGTGGAAGCTAGATAGTGATGTCTAGTTGACAAAGCAATTTTTCTTAGCCTCATTTTCCCTAAATACGTACCAGGACTAATAACACTTCCTCATAGGCATTCCAAGTGTTTGTAAACCTTTCGGATGTCTGGCCCTCAGCTGCACTACAATTTGTACTAATTCACTCATTCACAGCAAGTTTTTTTTTCCAAGAGAGCTTAAAAACTTAAAAAACAAGCTCTATTTCCTTTTCAGGTTTTTTTTTTCCTTTCCACAACCCTCCACCCCCCCACCCCCCAAACCCTAAACCAAAGCCGCACCAGTCACCGCAGTCGCCCAAGCCCGGGGGGCTGCGTGGCCCTGGGCTCCCCCCAGGGTTGGGAGGTGGTGGATGGGGGCACCCATGGGAGCCGTGGCAGTGGTCCTCAGGCAGACATGGGTGCTGTTCCCTCTCCCTGCCACCAGGTTCCATCACCCGGCTGGCGGCCCCCAGCACCCACTGACATCTCCCCTAAGGCTCTGCTCTTCACCGTGATGCTTTTTTTGCTCTTAGTGGCGGTGGTTTATGGTGGGACGTACCCCTGATTGTCATGGGGACGGCGTGCCCCAAAATCATTTGTACCTTCCCCACCGTAAATCTCAGCCGCACCCTGCTTCCCCCTCTGGATCCCTGGGGAGAGGTGGCACCTTGTGTCCCTGTGGGTTTGGTGACACCAGGCTGGCCCCGAGGGGAGATGGCCACGTGCGTGGGGAGAGGAGGGCGGCCACGCTGTCCTCTGCCTGCTTAATTAGTGGTGTCCCTTTTTACACCGGCAGCGGCGGCGCAGGTCGCTTCCAACACGCCAGCACACAATGCCCGGCTGCGGTAACCACGGCGTGATGCACCTCCCGGCGCGGTGCGTGGGGCAAGGGGTGGGTGCGACTCTCTGGCTGGGTGTCCTGCTCTTCCTGGTGTGAGATGGCTCCGTCCCCCAGCCCCAGGCTGTTCCCCATCCCAGCGGAGGGCAGGGAGGGCCGAGGGCTCTGTGCTTCCCCCTTAACAGACACATTTTGTTTCACTCCCATCCTGCGCCCTTGCTCTCGCGACGGGGCTGGGGGAGCGCTAAGCGGATGAAAGGACCGTGTGCTGAGGGACTGCAGGGTTTGTGATCACTGGGGCATCCGAAATACGATTTCCAAAGCTTTACTTCCCTGTGTGAGATGTTCACGTTGCTCCTCCAGCAAAACATGCCGCGGAGAGGCAGTGGCATCAGTGTTTTATGAGCGCTAGCTCCACGGCCAAGGCCCCTAACTGAGCTGCTTCACTGTTTTAAAGCTCTGTTCTCTCTGCAGAGCCCGGACCTCACTGGCAAATTGTGGGGACACGGCCTCGAGCCAAGGGTTCCCGCAGACGGAGCTGAAGTTGCTAATACAGGACAGCCGGAAAATGGTAAATACTGGCTCAGAGCAAGGTGTAGCGAGCGCAGCACTGAGCAGAAAAGCTGGCTCCATCCCGGCGAGCCTTAAGGTCATGCTAGTGGTACCCTGCAAGGTGGCCGCCGTGAAGCGCGGTGCCAGCACACGGCGGTCCCGTTTCTCGCACCGCAGGCACCTCGCCGGGGTTTCGGGTCGCCCGGTGTAGGTCCACCTCTGCCTCTGGGGCTGGTGAATCCTCGCAGCCCCGGCTGCTCCGAACAGCAGCACCGGTTGTAGCGTTTCTGGGGGGAAAGATTGTGAAGGACCCTGCCCTGAATTCCCGAGCGTTAGGACATCGGCGTCAGCACCCCACTGCGGCTCTGCCTGGGAGTACGGAGACGGATGCGGGGTACCCACAGACAGGCTTCAGCTTGGCTCTTTGCTGCTGTGCAGATGTTAATATTTGCCCAGGAAAGCACAGGTGGCTCTGGGACACTAAGGGGATGTGCTGGGCTTTATGGCATGCCGTAGGGTTAAGGTATTTTCACTTTTCGAGGGTGAATCTTGCGGTCTTTACCTCTGAGGCCGGACACACTCCAGTGCTCTGCTCTCCACAGTGAGGCGAAGGCAGGTTCAAAAAGTGTCAGGAGTTTTCTTAACTTAAACACATAATCCCTATTAAAGAGATGCATTGAAATAGGATATAAACTGCTCCTTTAAGTGCGGCAAACTTCCTTTTGGGTAGGAAGGGGTTTTCCTGCTCTGCTTTGCCGTGGGACCCGCCTGGCCGGTCCCCTGTTTTATTGTGCGGAAGAGACTGGCTCGTCTGGTTCCCAGTGGCAAGCTCGACACCACGACCGGGGTGTTCGTCAGCAAACCGGACAGGCGTCCTGCAGCTGAAGGTGCCTTCATCCTCCCTGTGATTAAATCATTGGGTCAGGGCTTAGCCTTAATGCTGTCTTGTACGCTTAGCTGGTGCGTCTCTGCTAAGCTTTTTTAATTGAATGATAGGCAAGATCCATAACATCAGCCCTGAGCTTCTGCTTGAACATCAAGGGAGGAGGCGATCTGTCATTTTAAGAAATCAATGCATCTTCTCAAGGCAGCCGGAGCTTACCATTTCATTTCACAGCTGCCAAGAGATCAACTATACAATTGTCAGGTGTGATTCTCTGACAGACAAGATAACAAATATGAGTGAAAGAGGGCTGATAGCCTTGCTTGGCGGGGAGGGCTGGCGGAGAGCGGTATTTGGTAATAACGCCGAGTTGCTGCAGGAAATTAATGTTCATGCTCGTGTCGTGGATCCCAACCCTCCCATTCGGGCTGTGTGTGCTGGGAATGGGACCTGTCCTTTTCCCTCCTCCTTGGTGGTCTGAGGGCTTATGGCCATAAGAAGAGTCCTGTGGAGGTCCGGAGGACCTCACCTCCTGTTCCAGCCATGGGCTGTGCCGGATGCCCAGGGAGGAGCTTAAAACAAATCTTGCACTTGGTCTTCGTTTCCCTTGGCACCCTCCCACCCCGTGATTTCTGAAGGTGTTGATGGTGTCTTTGTATTTACTAGCTCGCGGCGGACAGCATGTCTGCCTTCGAGCTGGTGAGGTCTAAGGCTGTTCAGGGTGTTCCTGTAGCCCAGAACCGACCTGGAAAAGGTGGAGGTAGAAGATGGAAGTATCGCACAGCCGAGCTGAGCGCAGTGGCTGAGCTTCTCAGCGCAGCAAAGGTGAAGTCCTGCGCTAAGCAAGCGTTGCTCCTCATTTCGGCAGGGTTAGGATGTCACCCGAGCACTTACTGCGAGCCCGGCACGGTGCACGTTTGACACAGGGTTTGTTGCTGGAGTTGTGCAGAGGCTTTTGCGCTGGGCTCGCTTGTACTTCTCATTGTCATAAATGCTAACCTTCATCCCAAATTTAGCGTGGAAAAACGGAATGTCTTTGGCTCGCCCTGTCCAGAACAGCTGGCCGAGCTGCTGTCGTGATTTTAGGAATATGAGCATAAACCTGCTTCGTCTGCAGCTGAAATGTTACTGTTTTCAGTAGCTTTGCATCGGGGATCAATTCAACTATAGGATTTTATAGCACTCTGAATCTCTTTGAATTCATACAAATACAGATGCGTTTGAAGCATTCAAACCCCATGTACCCCCTTCCCCCCCATCAGCTGAGCTGTCTGTATAGCAGAGCTGACAGCCGTTGTCTGTCACGTTTGCCATTCTGCACCGTCCTCCTGCCCACAGCATCAAAATAAAGAACTTGTTAGTCCTTTCTTTGAGATCAAGATATAAGCAGACAATTGATTTTCCTCCCTCTTCTCATTAGTGAGCTCTGACACTTAAT